AGCCCAATGGTCATATATATATATCTCTATCTCTTCTCTTCTCTACTACTTAAAAAATACGAGGTGCTTCCATCGTCCAAAAAAAACCGGGTAAAAAAACCGGGCAGAAAAAACCAGGTTTGTCCAATTAAAAAAACCGGAACGGAAAAAAGAAGTCCGATCCAGAAAAAAAAAGGCGAAAAAAACCAAAAAAACCGGACCGAAAAAACCAGGTTTGTCCGATAAAAAACAAAAAAAAAAAGTCCGACTCCTATATCCGTAACAGTGAAAAAAAAAGTGAAAAAAAAGTCCGACTCCTATATCAGATTCACTCTTACAAACCAAAAAAAAAAGTCTTACTCAGATTGGTGAAAAAAAATTGATGTGCCGGATTGAAGATCTGTTTGCAAAAACGGAATCTACATGTCGAGAGCATTCTATGTTTATATGATTTTAATTTTTGGATTTTTACTTTTATATTTGAGTCCAATTTTTATATTTACATCTGAGTCCCTATAATCTTGCAATAAGCTACTTGAGGTCTTTTTTGTTAAAAAATAATAAAAGTGAGAGAACAAAGGCAGAAAGGTGCATAAAAAGAAAAATAAAAGCCAAAAAAAAAGTCTGACTTAGATTGGTGAAAAAAATTGATGTGCCGGATTGAAGATCTGTTTGCAAAAACGGAATCTATATGTCGAGAGCATTCCATTTTTATATGATTTTAATTTTTGGATTTGTACTTTTATTTTTGAGTCCCTGTAATTTTTATATTTACATCTAAGTCCCTATAATCTTGCAACAAGCTACTTGATGTCGTTTTTGTTAAAAAAATAATAAAAGAGAAAGAGAACAAAGACAGAAAGGTGCATAAAAGAAAAAGAAAAGCCGCACAAAAAAGAAAATAAAGAAAAAAATAACAACAAAAGTTTTTTTTTCCTTACTGGCGAAAAAAACTGTAGATCCGACGGAAAAAAGATTTGATTCATATAAAAGGCAAAAAAAAAAAAGTGGTGACAAAAAAAACGCTAGATCCGAATCCTTTAAAAACAGAAAAAAAGTTTGATTCCTATAAAGGCAAAAAAACATCTAAAAAATTCGTTCGATTCCCTAAGAAAATGGTGAAAAATTGGTTCGCAAAAAATAAAAAGCTGGTTCATATAAAATAAAAAATGCAAGAGAGAAAAAAATAGAAACGGCGAAACAAAATCTGATTTCTAACCAGTATATATCTCTTCTCTATCTCTAATCTAACTATTTAAAAAGAGAAAATGCATGAGAAAATAAAAACGGTTAAAATAACGTGTGAGGCAAAAGTCAAAAAAAAAGCGCAAAAGCACGCTAAAAATGTTCTCTATCATCAATAAAAAAATAAAAAGAAGCGCGAGAAAAATTATTTCCATTGTCGATAAAAATAAAAAGACGCGCAAGGAAAAAACTATCGAAAAAACACGCCATTTATAAAAAAATGGTTTTTAAAAACCGTGCAAGAAAAAAACACCGTCTATTAAAAAAATCGCCCTGAAAAAACTGTCAGAAAAAAGCTAAATTGATGGACGCTTCAGTCGGATAGGATCCATCGATTTTTTGCCATCTACTACATGGCTTTATTTTGTCATATATTCTCCTGTATTGCAAAAAAGCAAAAAAGAACCATCGAAAAAAACAAGCAAAAAAACGTGCCAGAAAACAAGAAAAAAAACACACGAGAAAAGAAAAGCAAAAAAAAAAGGAGAAAAATATGGTTTTCTTCATAAGTAAAAAAAGCAAAAAAAAACATGGTAGGAAAAAACTGTTTAAAAGAAATGTGCCATTTCTGAAAAATGGTTTGAGAAAATCACGCAAGAAAAAAATACTGTTTGTAAACAAACAAGCCGCTCATTAAAATAGAAACATTGTCATTAACATGATTATGCATGAAAAATGTATATTATTATTAGAATTTTTTTGCCCGTTGCAACGCACGGGCATTTTTGCTAGTGTATATATATATGTATATATATATATATATGTATATATATATATATGTATATATATATGTATACTAGCAAAAATGCCCGTGCGTTGCAATGGGTAAAAATATTTTTGGATCGCTATACGTTTTACTCTTTTGTTTTGGACCGCTACCTCCCTTTGCTTGGTCTGTCTCTCTTTGACCCAACCCATGAGTGGAGCATCGGTCCCACTCGCATAGCGGACTGCCGTCTTCCATCCCCGGAGGAGGGTCTTGTGTCCGTACAATGCCAAAACCAGTCCTCCCTATCAAATCCGGTCGAATCTTCCTGGTCATCAAATCAGGTCGAATCTTTCTCGATCTTTCAATATTGGTTAAGGGTCTCGTGTCTGTGCAATGCCAAAACCGATCCTCCCCATCAAATCCAGTCGAATTTTTCTCGATCTTTTAAAATTAGTTAATGGTTTTTGATACACTTTATCTCCTCACTCGGGATAAGAATGGTGACTTTTAAATGGAGATTAAATTCTGTGAATACAAGGGAGTAGTGGGGGATCGATTTTTGCAATCAATTGGAAGATGGAACGCATGGGGGATAGATCGACTATGCTTGGAAGACAGGAAGAGGGAACGCATGGGGAGACAGATGGATGAGGCGGCGATGCTAGGGTTCGGCCGAGCAACGAAAAAATATGGCAGATAAAAAACAAATCCTTTACCGCATGCGAAATAATACAATAATAGTGAAAAAAAAGGTGAAAAAACCGGAAAATAAATTAAAAAACCAGCAGATGGAAAAAAAAGGCGGATGAAAAAAAGGCGGGAAAAAAAGGACGGAAAAAAGGACGCGCCTACCTATCGGGCGGCCGATCCGGCGCCGGGGAAATCGGGCGCTGACGTCAGCATGACGGACGTCTGCGTCCGATTTACGTGCAACACTAATTTAAAATGATTTTTCTCCTAAATTACATATCCAAATCATGATCCCATTGCACCATTAAATTCGTTGCAATTAAATTTTCAAAACAAGACCACACATGGATATATTCCGGTGAAAAAAAATTAGCTTATTATTGAATTATTTTTAAATGTTGCATGATGTTCCACCAGGTATATCGGAATTGTTTCACTAAGTAGAGCGAAAATGTTTCACTCGTTTAAATCGGGTGTTGTTTCACCTTATATAAAAACAATGTTTCAGCAAATAGCGAAAGAATGTTTCAGTTCACTGTAACATTAGATCTATACATAGTGAAACATTATGTGTACACTAGGTGAAACATTTTTCGGTGGAACAAAAAATAAACCAAATTCCCTTAATAGGGGGTTTCTAAAATATGTGGGTTTTTTTTTTTGCAATGGAATGTTTCGTTCACTGCAACATTAGATCTATCCATAGTGAAACATTGTGAGTACACTAGGTGAAACATTTTTGGTGGAACAAAAAATAAACCAAATTTCCTTAATAGAGAGTTTCCAAAATATGTGGATTTTTTTTGTTGTAAAAGAGTATTTTAATTCACTGCAACACTAGATCAATAAATAGTAAAACATTATAAGTACACTAGGTGAAACATCTTTTGTGGAAAAAGAAGAGAGAAGTGAGTGGAACCAACAGTAGCATGTGGGGAGGAGAGCGCGTGGGGGGAGCACCCGATTGGGCTCACCCGCGCCGGTCGCCCGGGGACAAGCGTTTTCACGGAAAAAAAACAGCAAAAGAAATAGACTAACGAAGAAAAGGAAACAACGGAAAAAAAATGACGCAAGAATCAGATTTCTTTTTTTTTTGCCGTTCTTTACGGGTACTTTTTGTTTCTTTATCGCCCTTTTTACGGGCTTTTTTTACGGACTTTTTTCTCCACGTCGGACTTTCCTTTTTTTTTCGCCCTTGCACGACGGAAACATCTCTAATCGTGCGGATCGGATGGAGGAGATTGAAAAAAAAACGGAACCAAAAAAAACCGCGACCCACTAAAAAAATCAGATGAAAAAAATGACATGCGGAGAAAGAAAAAAACCAGGCCCACAAAAAACGCGTAAAAAAATGATCGGACGGATAAAAAAAATGACGACTGAAAACTGAGTCGGACAGAAAAAAAAATCGTGCTATTGCTTTTGTTTGCTAGGAACGGAGTCGAGAAAAGATCGTGAGCTATCAGCAGTAACGTATGAAATTTGTAGATAAAAACACCTTAAACTTTTATAATAAGTAAAGATATATATTATCGAGGGAACTATTGACGCAAACACGAGGATTAATTAATTAGCAAGGTTAAGGCACATATAGTCACAAGACCTCCCTTCTCCACTCAATTGACTTAAGTAAATAGAATCGGGAAAGATAAGATGGAGTGCGGCCAGTTATGAATATAGAGAGATAACAAGTTTAACAATTAAAACACTTGAGGGAATAAAAAAGGAAAAGACAAAAATATCTGTTAACACAATAGTCATATGCACTTTCATATGTGTGCCTTCTTTCTACTACCATTCTCCTTGGCTCTCTAGCATTTCCAGTACAACAGTAGAAGCAGCCCTTTGTTCTTAATTACCTATATGTGCCACACTACCACCGTTGTTGCAGGAGGTAGTTTCCCTAACCTTAAGCATATCCAACAGATAGTCGAAATTCACTCAGGAATGGGATTGGGAAGCCTTTGGAGATGCGCCTATATATACTTGGATGGAACCAACCCTCGGATGCCTATCGAGGGCTTCCCTAAATGCAACCATCACATTATTGTAATCATATGTGATTATGACGTCTTCGAGGTTGTGAAGGTGCTGAATGCCAACTAGAGACCTGGTATCTTGCTCTGCATGGCCAAAAACAATGAGATGCATAATTCTAAGCTTTGGCATTGCTCCTGGCTCGATCGACAAACTGGAAGATTTATAGATCAACTTTAGTTCTTTGAGAGCTGAAAATGATACACTGTCTATAATAATCTCCATGCCAGGAACCTCGATCGCTTGCAAGTCAAGGTAAGCGAGGCAGGGTAACCTTGTGAGAACACGCATATCATCGCCCTCGAGTTTGTCAACAATGAGACGTAAACTAGTTAAAGTCTCAACCTATTGTATCCAGTATGGAACCCTGAAGAAGAATATCATGTGAGGGTGAAACTTCTGAAGGAATTGCGGAGGAGGAAACCAGCTATACAAGAAGCCAATGGGTGGTTGTCTGTGCTCCATTAGAGCAACATTGAAATCTAGACAGCGGACGTTGCAGCTGCCCAGTTCCCTAAGGGAAGTGGCAAGAGCAGCAAACTTTACCATATCTGTCTGGTCATCTTCATCGTTGCCTCGACGGCGATTGTAGATGACACCAAGCGTCCTTAGATTGGTCAGCATCCCAAGATGTCGGATGTTTTCAACAGAACAATTGCAGAAGTTAATTTCTTCAAGTGTACGTATAGAGGTCAGCCTGTTAATCCCCCTGCCGAGCTCTGCATTCCATGGAGTTCTCAGATGCCGCAATGATGGTAAACAAGCATCACTCAGAAACCCACCGATGAGTACGAGATCACCGCTGCATTTTATGTCAACCACTTGCAAATATCGCAGTTCCCCACTTGTATCAGGAAACTGGAAACGATTACCTTCCAATTTCAGATACCTTAGTTGGAAAAGGTTACATACAGGAGACAAATCATACGTTGCACGGAATGGAAAATAACCTTCCATTCTCAGATGTAGAACCCTCAAGGCTTCAAACATCTGAAGACGAGGCAAGCTTTCACCACGCTGATGCAGCCGATCCCCAAAATAAATGACGGATCGGACTTGATGTAAAGACTCACTTGCTTGGATCAAGTTACCACGGTTTGATTGGTAGCTGAGTCGGCGAATCAAAAAATTATGTCGTCTTAAGCAATCTTGATCAGTCCTAATTACAGTCACAAAGTTTTCCTCCGTGGACTTCTCAACAATAAGATCAAGAAACAAATTGTGCACAACACGACAGGAGACAACCTCACCATGCTTAAACTGAGCTGGCTTTATCAGGCTTCTATTTATGAGGTCACTGAAGTAGCTCTCAGCAATATCTTCTAAGTCTCGGTTATCTTTTTGGGTAATAAATCCTTCTGCTATCCATTGTCTCATCGAGTCTTTCTTCATGATGTCATAGTTTTCAGGATACATATGAAGATATAGAAAGCACGTCTTCAGATCCGAAGATAAATTATTGTAGCTAAGTTTAAGGATATGCTTCATCCATTTAGAGTTAGGATTTCTTTCCAGTTCAAACCCCATAGAGTATTTTATCTTCAACCAATTATCCAGTTTGTTAACTTCTTCTTGACTAGCCAAAAGACTAGCTATGACAACTACAGCCAATGGAACTCCTCCACATTTCTTTAAAATATCAATAGCAATTATGAGTTCTTCAAGTTCAGGGCTGTAGTTATCTGACCCATATATTCTTCTGAAAAATAAGCTTCTGGAGTCCGTCCAACCTAGTGGTTTCATCTTATAGACAATGCCATGGAAGCTAGAGCAGCAGGCATTAGCTACATCCTTTCTTCGTGTAGTTGTAATAATTCTGCTTCCGCTGTTCCACGTTTCGACAAATGCACCACTAATACTGTTCCATGTTTCTATGCTTGCTATGTCATCAATTACAACTAGGAACCTGAGAAAAAACATAGCAATAATCAATAGCGGAAAACCATAGATATCTATAGAAAACCATATCGAGCTATTTTTGGTTATAAACCATATAGTTAACTTCTGGCCTTCAGACTCATTAGTATATCTATATCTACACCAATCCTGGGCATTATATTGTCCAGATAATACACTGTTAAAATTTCTATCAAGTCTACATGCAGATAGAAACGGCGACTGAATGCAGCAAGGGTATAGAACATGCGCTGCGACAGAAAATATTAGTACAGATTCGTAACGCCCATTGCAAATGGTTCTCGGTTATGAGAGTTGAGCATATTCAGCAGTATGGTCAACTGGTCAAGGTGATATTGTTATTTAACATCTTACTAGGTGAAAGCAACAAGCTTTCTGCAAGGAGGATGAGACACGTAATCTAAATAACATGGACCGTTGGATGGATCTTGTAAAAGAACACACCGTTCGATCATCTATATAGGTAATTTATGTTGGACCAATTAAGAGGCTTATATGTGAGTGGAAAACCATCAGGCCAATCAAGAGGCTTCCAGATGAAAGGTCTCAACAAGTAGATAACTCATGTACCTAGATTTTTTTTTTACATAGTACAAACATTAAACTTCTTATCAAATAAAGAAAAAAAAGGTAAATGAAGCTAGCTCAGCCGTACATTCGTTCTGAATTTATTGGCCGCCATGATTATCCTTAATAAGGGAATTGTGATAAATTTAGCATGAGATCACATTCTTTAATTTCCCAGACATTCTGTGGTCACATGTGGATGGAATGTCCTAAATATGTATATATGCCTATATGTAATTTTCAAATATTCTCAATTCACAGTTTATATGCATATACAAATACTCTAATATAATTTCTCTTTTAAAAAAAATACTCTAATATAATTTTGGTTTATATTGGAACACACTACACCAAATTTGACATGGCACCTAATTGGCATACACCATGAAGTACCATTTTTTAAAAAACATAATACAAACACACGAGCTCATATACACATGAGCACACTAGTCACTATGAATAAACACGTGTACACGAAATCGTTATAACAACTTAATGTTATTGCTCCTTCGTATTATATTAAATATACTTATCTTTTACAATCAAAATTTATCGTAAAATGCAGCTACTTCTATGCCCACTCTCTCATCTCAACCAACCACAAGCATATCCTATTTAATTTCTTCGCATACTTTCTAATTTCAACCTTACAACCTTCCTCCATTAAATTTTACCCCTCTTCATAATAATCACTAAAAAGGGTCTAAAGGTAACTACTCCCTCCATTCCTAGAAAATAAATATTTTTAGTATTCAAATTTTATATACAAATATAAACATTTCTAGACATTGATTCTAATGCGTGAAAATCCAAGCACTTTTAGTTAACCAGGGAAACTAAGCAATTCAAAATTTTAACTTTGACAATAAGATGATTGAAAGAGAACACTTTCCATTAATCTTAAACTTTACTAAACAAACTAGAAATGCTTATATTTCCCACTAATACAGACAGGTTATGCGAAGCTCAGAGTCGCGCGAAGTGCGACTAGGTGGCTAGTATTACTGAAAACAACAAGATTTATAGGTTTCAAAAGAATGCCCTAAAACAAAATTAGAAACTACCAGTAACATGCTGATAGTGTAATAAATCAAGATAATTTAGTATTAAACCTTAGACATTAAGTTTTCAGAACATTTATTTAGTGAGGCATTTTGATTATTATCAGCAAGAATTACACATGATGATTATCAGTTTGTTGCAAGAATAAATTTATCCATTTATTTTTATTTTAGAAATATTTTGTGACAAGAAATTCATTATTCATCAAGAAACAAAGTGGCTCACACTCAAATCCAACAGTATTATCTAAAGGACCTTCTGTAGTCCTTGTTGATATAGTACCTAGTTCAAAGTCCAAACCTACTTACTCATTGTTTTAGCAATACTAATATTGTTCTTGTCTGCAACAGTACAGATCTTGCAAACTATAGTCTTTTTATAGTACTTATGTTCAACAGTATTAGGAGGTACAAAATTAAATTTGTAGTTTATTTGTGGTATAATTTGGTACTTATGAAGTATCAAATTTCACATAGAAAAATATGGTACCACCCAGTAGCTTTATCAAGTACGTACCATAAATATCTCACAAGTATAATGTACCTCTATAAGAACCTTAAAGAACTATTCAATTGTTGTTGCTGCTGCTGCATGCTATTACTGTCGTTATTTTTGCAATTTTAAACCTAGTTCAATGTTATACTCAACATAATTTACATTGAAGATGAAATCACTCATCAAGTAGTAAGTTTGTGCTAGTGTGACTATTATGATATTCTTCATATAATTCTTTTTTTTTCATAGCAGTTGCTAGAAAACATTGGTTAAAATCTGTTGTGGTGTTTGATAAAAAGGCAAAATTAGTTATTCAGTTATTTGATGGTTCTTCATGTAATCTTTGCATAGAATTTGTTCTTTTACCGGGAATAAAATTATCATCTCCCATCACAGCATGTTAAAAAGAAAAGAAGATATATTCCCTAGGACCAACTATCCTCTCATTCAAGAATTGGCCATCGGCTGATTTTGTGGATTGTGGAACTAAAAAATAATTCTTCTGACTTGTGTGTAGATTTGTTGATAAACAAATAGATGCAAATTAAGGGGTGGACTTTTTTCAAAGTTCTGAATAAAAAGGATAACAATTCTTGAAGAGCTTTCATAAAAGTAAAAGGTGGTGTAGGAGTATTGTGAAAAGAAAGTATTAAACAAATGGGGAATGGACAAGTTTTGCGAGGAAGTTTGGGTTATGAAAGTTCCTTTTTGTGAGTAGAATATCCTAAGCTATATATTATTAGCAATCAACAAAAGCGATCAGTTAAAGATATTGTTTTACAGGAGGCCTTCCAAAGAAACTTCACTGAGAATGAGCAGGATCATGCATGTTGAGTTATATGTTCAATACTGGAGAATGTAAAATTAAACTTTGACAGGGATGAATTATCTTTGCCTCACGGCACAAATGGGAGATATTCTCTACAAGATCCGTATACATAATATATAATACATATGGTTTTATATGGAAGAGTTTTGTGTATGGCAATTTGAGATAGATTACCCCATGGTCGCTCTCTTTTACCTGTTTTTATATAGGACTGTTGTATTGGCTTTTTTTTTTAAAAAAAAAAGTAAAGTTGAATTGATATTCTGGTGAGTTTCTCAACTATTTAAATCCCAGGCCATTGGACTTGGCAATTCTTACAATAATTCCAAATAAGATGGGGCTGGCAACGAACTGGTTCCACTATAATTTTTTTAAAAGAACTATGAAACTATTTATGTAGTTACCTAGGAAATATATTAAGATCTCGCATATGTCTTTTGCTGTAACAAAATATTTGTGTGTTTTTTTTTTGTATATGTGGTTCCTCTTTCATAGTTTGCAGAAGAATATATATTTACCAAAACAACTGAAACTTGAAGAAAAACATTGGAACATTTTGCACAAGCTTTTGTCATATAATGTTGGGAACTACAAGAGGCATCTTTGTCCATAAGGCCATTATGGCCCTTTTTTTTTCAGAAGCATATCTGCTGATATGGTCCATTAACATGTCTAGGAAATTGATTTATGGATTGTATATAAGGAATAGAGAGTAACTAAATGCAAATAATTGAATGGTACTGAACTGAGTGTCAAGGAATATAATTCTCTTTAAACAACTAACTAGGAAATATATTCCAAAGTACTATGAAATATTATACCAAACTGTTTACTACACAGACTTTTTGATGGTACACCAAGTTACTGTGATCCATCCATTGCCTATTGGGATATATAGTTTTATTGACACAACGAAATAGAACCATAGAAGCATATGCTCTCATACCTCTTGCAAGAGAGTTTTTCTCTGGTTGCATTGATGAGACTTTTTATGCCATCGGCCGATCCGTCATATCTGAGTTGCGAAAGAATGTCATTTAAAATCATTGACGTGCTACGGTTTCGTGATGCAAACACAAACACCGCGCACTCAAATCTGCTATGAATTTTCTTGTAGACCTGGCTGGCCAACGTTGTTTTACCAAGACCCCCAAATCCCACAATAGAGACCACCTTAGGATGCTGTACTGACTCTCCTTCCATATCCTCCATTAACAACTGTGTAATCACCTCACATGGGACATTGATACCGACGAGCCTATTTGCCTTTCCACACAGGACAGGTGAAATATCATCGATTTCTATCTGCCTCGGGTTAGAGCTAATAGACTCGTCGAGATTGTATATACTCTCTACTCTTCTGACTTCCTCGACAACATAATCCTTGATTTCGTGAATTTTTTCAAACAAGATAGGGAGCATCAGATCCATCGTGTCAGTGAGCAAGGTGGCCTTGTCAGCTACAGTGCCAAAACTGTGCATGAACCTGTCAATTCTGTCCTCAACAAAGTAGGCTAGCTCACGTACCTTGTTCCTCAGCTCCCTCTTCTGAATATTCAGAGCCTCCATGTTAGGCAGCTTCTGTAGTAGAGCATTCATGCAGCTCAATTCCTCTTTCAAGTGCCATATATTGTTCTTGAAATCAAATTCGGTAGAAAATTGGATCTCTTTCAAGTCGTATCGACACACCTCTTCCAGCTTCACCAGGAGTGAGTTCATCACCCCAGTCGAAATGTTCACGGCCATGCCTCGATCAATCCCTCTCTGTCTCTGCTCTTTCTTGATCTATGCTTGTCAATGATCTTGGCACTGCGTTTGACTGTCAGTAGCTAGCAGATCAACCCTCCAGTTATATAAGATAAGATACTAGCTAATTAATTGTCTTAATTTTTTTTCTTTGAATGACAGCTAATTTGGTACGTTCACGTACTTTCCTACGTGAAGAGTATTGTACGTCGATCCGTATCCAAAAAAAAAAGAACCGTTGAAAATCTTAAAATTATTGCTGGTGATGCCCATGCATGTTCTCTCTGTCTCTCTCTTAAAACAATCCATGAAAGAAACTGCTGGCAAACTTTCTCTCGTTGACCATGTCATCATAAAACATTTTGGCCACAACCCACGAGGATCAATTTGACAAATCTTAATGGTTCTACATCTAGCATTACTTAGCATACTAGGTAAAACCCCGCGCGTTACTGCGGGAATTTAGAATGATAAAAATAATTAAAGGTAGTATCAAAAAACTGCCACAAGTTTTTTTAGTAAAAAACTTTCGATGTAAGTGTAACTATACTATATTTGAAGCGTAACTACTGCACTGTAACTACAATGTAACTACGATATAATAAACTTGCATTCAACCATGCCCTGGTTAGCTAGCACTAAAATCTTACGCGTGACATGTGTGAAAATTTATTTCTAGCAATTTTTTTCCCTTCATGCACAAATGTCGAGGCGATCGGATGGTCATTTATCTAAAAGTTTTGGGGGCAAAAACTTTTGGAAGTTTTATAGCAAATCCGATAAGTAAAAATAATGTATAAAATAGCTAAACAACATAAATTTATGTAAGTCGGTGTGGTTTTATGAAAGAAAAAAAGAAATAGATAATATGGAGTATAGATTAATCATCTACGGGTTAAAAAAATTAAGATGATATGGCTTGATAAGAGGAGAGAAAAATAATATTAACCGAGGATGAACTATATAGGTATATAGTATATTTAAAAAATAATGGAGAGATATATTGAAATATTATGTGAATTATGTGCGATGATAATTTAACATGCTTCTATTTTAAAACTCCAAAATTTAATAAATTACAAAATATAGATAATATAGCATGCATAATGTTTAAGTGTAATAATTGTTAGTACATAATGATGTAACATCTTTTGTATGTTGAGTTTTAGAATTTAATGGGTTGTAACCTTTTAGTAAGATAGGATACACTACCTCCTGTCGTGAATAAGTGATACTATGGAGTATGGACGGAGCAACTGATCACCAAAACACTAGTTTCATTGTTAAGAAGTAGGAGTATAAAGCATATGAAAATATAGCAAAGTTATAATATTATTTGAAACTAATTTTGAAGATAAATCTGGCCACGACAGTTTTAAAAAAAATGATTTGAGATATGACAAAAAATATGAATGGGCAAGATTTAAACATATTGACTGCAGACATTAAAAAACACTTCACTTATCTGCGAGCTAGATGGAGTAATTTTCCATGCCACGAATAATGACTGATGATGTTGCTGCCTTCTTTAGTTGACCGGCTAACCATCACAACATAATCCCACCACTGTTCTAACCGCCGGGCACATGACAACCCTCTGTTGGTTGGAACGAATTGTACGTACATGTATCCATCATAAATATTTGATGTTTAATTGTATTATTCGATTAGACTTTTGAAACGTTGATCATAAATAATTTCACAAATGTTTTAGATAAAGAGATGGTACAGGTAGATTTAATACCTAGCGTTGCCCACATTTATATTAGATGCTAATAAATCTAGACATATATATGTGTTTAGATTCATTAATATCTATATGGATATGAGCAATACTAGAAAGTCTTACATCGTGAAACAGAGGAAGTAATATCATAAACGTATTTAACTTTAGAAATTTAATTTAATCAACTCTTGTCTTTAACATCGAAAGGAGAGTGATTCTTCTTCCTTTTAATAATAGAAACTGGCACGCTCTTGTGCCTATGCAATAAAGAAATAGTTACGAATGGAAGTCAAATTCCATTCCTTTGCCGAATTAAGCATAAGATCATCTTGAGGGGTATCCTCAAGGGAGGAGAATCTTCTGACCTAACACAAGTGGTAGATGCTTTCACGCTCTTCAACATAGAATAGCTGGTTGATCAACCGGTACAACGTATTGCTAATTAGGAGTCCCAAATCTAGGACAGCAAATGCTGAGCTAGCAGAAAATAGGCAATACTATTGATTAAGTCGAGCACGCACCTACCAGCTCTAAGCCTCTGACACTTTATGTTCTTAGCTTCAATTAACGTTGAAAGATGCTTATGGTAGAGAGTTACATAGTGAACAAACAAAAATGAGCAATAAAGAAAGGGAACTTTTACGGTACAATATACTATACTTATGAACGAGGGCACGTTTGGAATTTGCCACCAAATTTAAAAGGGTATTTTAGTAATTCGTGATTCATCTTCAATCCAATCGTCAAATTAATCATAGATGTCTAATCAATCTAAAGCGGAGAGACGACCCTTGGCATTGGTAGAACGACAAACATCGGCGGCAGTGTGTAGGCAATGACGGCATGCACCGCGGGGAGGCCAGGTACAACGGGAGGCGTGGCTGCGGTTTGTGATAGTCTTATTTTCATGACAATATGGGTAGGCTACAATAGCGAGCAGCTCCAGTGCTCAGCGGCCATTGCTGCCATCCTTAATCCGTCTCCCCAGCCTTGGCACCCCTCGCGCTGGCCTCTAGTTCCCACATCCATGTTTCACAGGGGTGTCGCTGTCGCTGCAGAGGAACAACACAGCTAGCATCATGCGGTAGGCGAAGTCCCGGTTGGCGGCTCGAAGCCAAAGACGCCGAAGAGAGGAGCACACCGGTTTAGTTTTTGTACTTGATGGCCTTGAGGAGGTAAGAGCGGACGCCCTCGCTGTCGCCAACACCCTCCCCACCGCCAGATCCACGTGCGCACGAGGGGGAGAGCCCGCCGGGTTCGCCGTCGTCGAGCTCCCCAGCGCCAGATCTGCTGCCGACGAGCTCCCCATTGCCAGGTCCACAGCTGCCGGGTTCACCGTCATGGAGGAAAGAGGTCGTTGGCCACTCCTGAGATCACCGCTTGCACCCGCTGCATGTGAGGGTGGATCCGCCCTTCTGAGCCCGCCGGTGGCGGATCCGCCCTTCCCGGGGAGAGTCGTTGCCAGATTTGCAGTGCCCGTTGACCGCCACCTCTGCCACCCTATGAGCCGACCACCACCGTGAGAGAGGAAGGGAGGAGATGAGCGAGGGGGTGAGAGAGGGAAAAGGAAGAGATGAGGAGAGGAGGAAGGGGAAGCGGCGAACGATGGTTCTGGACAGGCTTGTCCCTGGGGCTGTGCGGCCCGCGCGCCCGCACAAGGCCCCAATTTTCAGGGGCCCCTAGGCCCAAAACTCCAACACTATATATATATATATATAGATATAGCCCAATTAGCCCTAAAAATCTGTTATTTTTTTCATGTTTTATTTACGTCGTTTCGCCTCGGTTTTGCTAATTGGCGCAGACGCGCGAGATGCCGAGATGGTCACCAGGGCATGCACGCACTGATGCAAGTGGTGATTTATCGGTAACTAATGGGCTAATCCAATTAGGATGGTGTGATTAGCGCTAGCTTCACGTAATTAGCTTCCAATAATGATAAGCATTAAATACGCGCCGGTGAATCAAATTGGCACGCACGCGGTTAGTATTTTCTTTTTTCCCGCACTTTCTTTTCTTCCCGGAGATGTTTATGCATTAACAACGTAACTAATTTAATTTGATTAGTTTTAGATAATGATGATAATAAAGATAATATTTTTTATTTAATGTTCTTCTTTTACTAATAGATTGAAAAGAAAACTATACGTGAAGTTAAATTTTGAAAACTTTTTAACCCATACTTGAAAACTTTCAACTCGAAATTTGAGTTTTTTTAGACAAAATTTGAAAACTTTCAACTTTTAATCTCAAATTTGAAAAACGTTTAACTCAAATTTAAGACTTTCAACCCAGATTTGAAAACTTTCAACCCAAAATTTGAAACTTTCAACCCAGATTCGAAAACCTTCAATCCAGACTTAAAAACTTTCAACTCAAAATTTAAAAACTTTCAACTCTAGATTTGAAACGTCTTTTATATTGAAAAACTTTTAAGTTAATATTTAAAAACTTTTAACTCAAATATTTTTGAAAACATGTGTGCTACCAATAAAAAAATCGGAAAAAAAACACGAAAAAAAGGATAAACACGCGAGGGGTAAGGAAGAAAAAAAGATAAAGCGAAAAAGATAACGAAAAAACAAGAAATAGCGTGGTGGAAAGGCAGAAGGGTAGGCTGGCGTGCTCATCAGTTCCGTTAGTGGCGCGCCCACGCCAATTAGCATCCCACGTTTCGCCTTTGATTGTGGCATGGCACGATGGGCCTCCGCCTCTTGATCGCGGCATCGCTTAGAAAACGAAACAACGCCTCGCCTCCCTGACTCTTTCTCCGTTCGCATCTGGCGCACTGCCGCGATGTCATCGCTAAGTCCTGATGCCGTGTCGCCGTCGCTACCTAGAACTGAGAAACTGGTGCTGGCTGTGACCCATCATTGGCCGGCCTGCCTGCCGGAGTCCTTGTCGGCTGCAACGCCTGACGGCCTGATCGTCTACTCTAATCAGCAATCAGGTAATGTAATCCACTAATCCCTATTCTCTAATTTTAGTGTATCATGTATGGATTATTAGGTTTTTAGGCTCATCTACTATATACACTAAATCAATTTTTATCCTTACATAGATACATCCTGTATTTTAATTTTGAAGACATGTCTTCAACAAATTGGAATAGGAAATATACTATGCACATGTATATTATTTTAGACCATTTTACATTGCTATGAAATGTATTATAGAGTATAAATTATTGTTGTATTATATCATCAATTAAGTTTTTATTCTTCTTTACTACTGCACGACTTTGCACTGGGGCCTCAAATTTAATAGGATAGCCCTGGTTCTGGAGAAGAGTAGACGGTGCGGTGGAGAGAAGGAGGAAGAGAAAAAAGGTGCAGAAAAAAAATCTATTTCCTACTTGCCCGCATGCAAAATTAGTTTTTTTACATGCAGTCCTTAAGAAGCCTTTGATCCATCTCTCGGGTTAACTTTTTTTTTTCATGCGTGAACAGTTATGGTCTATACCTGTAATTTGGAGGGATGTCGTCCTCGTTTCTGTAGTAGTTGTAGAAGTGAGCATGCTTAAAAACCAGAAAAAAGAACGCAGCAATGCTATCATTCGCCTGTTGCACTCGCAATCGAACGTTCCAAAAAGAAAAAAAAAATCCTGATTGCGACGGGGAGTTTAGTAGTAGGTGAGACGCATGTTGCACTGCCTTGGCGGCCCAGTCTCAAGTAGTGGAGTTGTAACATTTGGCCCAGTCTCGGCTAGGCCCATGCTGTCCTCCGGCCGACGAAAGCAACCCCACTGGGATAGGGTTTCCTTTCATCACGTCTTTGATACGTAAATCCGAATCCAGTCGAGGGAAGAAGATGGTGACGCCGGACAAGAAGAGGAGGAAGAAACTCGCGGAGCCGGAGCCGACGCCGACGCCGGCGCCGGAGCCGGTACCTCGTCTCCTCCGCGTTCGTCCAGGGAACAAGAAGAAGAACAAGGGGGCCTCACCTGAGAAGCAGCCGCCGGTGTACATGGTGTTGGCGCACGGAGTCGAGGAAGAGCCCACCACCCACTCCGTAATCGAGGTCGCCGCCTGCGCCGCCGCCCGCCGCCTGCTTAACACCGGCAGCGGCCGCGGCCGCGGCCGCGGCATGTCGTTCGCCGCGGTGGGGACACGCACCGTGGGCGTCGGCGTGGAGTTGACCACCGTCTACGACCCCGAGACATCCACGGAGCGCGGCGGCCCGCGACTCATCTTCCCCAAGGTGAACCCCGTCCTCATCTCGATCTCTGACGACGGCGGCGGTGTAGTCGGCGGCGGCACGCTCTACGCTCTCTCCCGCACCCCGGCCGTCGTGAGGCCGCTGGATTTCGAGCCATGGTTCTTCGTCCTCGACGACCTCAGCCACACCGTGTGGCGCGAACTCCCATCGCCGCCGCTCTTCCCGTGCCGCCTCAACCCGCTGGAGTTCCTCGACCCGCCCAAGTTGCGCGTCGCGGCGTACGCCCTCGTCGGCTCCCACATCCTCCTGTCGGTCTCGGTGCAGCAGCTGCAGCCGCAGCAGCAGCAAGAAGACAAGGGCACCTGCGCCTTCGACATGGACACCGAGCAGTGGGAGATGGTGCACGACAGCAACCTGCCTTTCGACGGCCAGGCCTTGCCTCTCGGCAGCGACGACGACCACCGCTTCGTCGCCGTCGCCTCCGCCGCCGCCGACGTTACGGTGTACCGCATGGTGGTCGGGATCTCGGCCGTCACGGGGAAGAAGGAGCTGACCATCGTTGCGTTGCGGGTGGTGGTGGCATCCAACTCCAAGTGCCGCATTGTTCCGGGCAACCTTCTGTGCGCCATGGGGAAGGGGAGCTTCGCTTCTTTCGAGTTCCGGTCCATTGCTGCTGCTTCCATGGGAAAGGTGGGCAGAGCACGTATTGTTCATCGCACTTACTCTCTGGTGGATGATGGTGAGGACGATTGGGTCGTCATGGTGAAGAAGCAGGATCGGCAGGTTTACAAGCTACGTGATCCATCCTTCTTGGGCGGTTGCTCTTTTTTCCATGTAAAAATTTCAGAGCCTTTCTTTGCTTCTTCCAACATCTTCTGATTCGTTGTCAGCGTCTATTATATCGCTGCTAAGGCCTTGTTTAGTTGGGAAAAAATTTTGGGTTTGGTTGTCACATCAGATATACCGACACACATTTAAGTATTAAACGTAGTCTAATAACAAAACAAATTACAGATTTCGCAGAGATGAATTTATTAAGCCTAATTAATCCGTCATTAGCAAATATTTACTGTAACACCATTGTCAAATCATGGTGCAATTAGGCTTAAAAGATTCGTCTAGCAATTTACACGCAATCTGTGTAATTGTTTCTTTTCCATACATTAAATGCTCCATGCATGTGTCCAAATATTCGATGTGACAGTGTAAAAAATTTTGTTTTGGAAACTAAACAGGGCCTAATTCATCAGCAGCTATCCTTTCGAAATTTTTTTGAAAATATACGTGTTTTTGATCAAAATTGCAAGAATAGGTTGATTAGGGGCCGTATCGCACTTTGATGTCGCAAGAGAGCGATATCACTTAATCTACATGCGAAAGCCGCAGCGCTATCGCTAATTGAAATCGCGGGAGTGCTAATGCATCGGTGTTGCATTTGAAAATCGCAAGAGCGAGGCGGTCCCGCACTTTCGTAAAGCGATAGCGCGGGTTGTCCGACGTTGTCTGACGCACGTGGGGCACGAAGCAGTCTCGTGCTTTGAGTGAGCGGGAGCGCGTGTGGTATTACGGTCTACTTACGCAAGACCGTAGCGGCGTGGCTCGTCTGACGCACGTGGGGCCCGAAGCAGGCCCGGAGCGGTCTCAAGCTATGCGCGAGCGAGAGCGCGCGCGGTATCGCTCTCTCCTAGGACGATACCGTTGCGTCGTGGCCCACCTGCTAATCGGCTACTAATCGCGTAGGAGGCGACAGCGACGGCTTCTTTGAAAGAGAGAGACCCTAAATGCGCACCCGGAGCGCGAGAGCGATCCTCTAAATGCGTTTACATTTGATGCGAATACCCGATGCAAATCGTTAATATTTCATGTGTGATATATTAAGCCGTTGCTATGTAGAAAGTATAAACTTTTTTTTTCATATTTTTTACTATGTGTGCAACATATATACATTAATAAACTTGAGAAATATGTATATATTGAAAATAGGAAAAGATTGTGTACGCGGCTACGAGAAGAAAAATAAATATCTTAGAATTTGCAAAATAATGATATCAGTTACAGAAAGAGAGAGGAAAGAAACAACATATTAGCTATAGAAAAATAGAAATTGAATATATATTTATTATATATATATATATATATATATATATATATATATATATATATATATATATATATGAGTAGAGAGATCATTCGGGAGCAAATTTGCAAAGTTCACGAAGAATATGAATTTAGAATATATCATATTATTCACAGAGAAAATCACCTTTGCATATTCACAAACTCGGTCTTGTGGCAAGAACCGTGTAGCGAGTTAACGAACTACACAGTTCTTACCACAAGACCGGGCCTATGAATATGCAACACCGAGTTTATGAATTTGCAGTAGTAGGTCATATTCACAAACGGATGTTGGAACTTAAAAAAAGAGTGGGTGTAAGAATCTATTAAAAAAAATCACATTTGCATATTCACAGACTCGATCTTGGGACAGGAACCGTGTAGCGAGTGAATGAACAACATAAAGCGAGTTCACCAGCTACTCAGCTCCTGCCACAAGATCGGGCCTAAGAATATACAACACGCAGTTGGAACCAGCAGAACGTTTATGAAGAAGAGATGTAGTTGTGTGCTAGGTTTGGTTGCTATTTATAGGGGATAGGAAGAAGCTGCGCATAGTCTGAATTATTAATGGGTTGTACACAGGAATTGTGAATGATTAGAAAGAGAAGAAGGCGCGTCGGACTGCTTCACTATTCAATTAATAATTACACAGAGATGACGGCACTTTCGAAGCGTTAGCCTGCTTCACTGTTAAAGTTAATAATTACAAAAGGATACCGTCACTTTTGGCGGCACTGGTTGCTTCACTATTTTCTTTAATAATTAGAAAGAGATGACGCCACTTTCGGTGCGTCGGAATCTTCACCGTTAAATGTAGATGATTGCCTCTACGTGAAATGTCCCGTGATTGGAAAGAGAGGAGACCATTTTAGGCGCGTATGATTGCATCTTTGTGAAATGAAATTAGTGTGTAATTTAAGTCACAGTAGTACACAATAAAAGTATTATCCAATTTAAACCGCACGAGTAACATCAAAACTGCACTATTAATTTAATTAGTGAGAGTATTATTTGTGTTAACTGTCGTACGGAAAATTATTAGTTAACAAAAAAAATCATAATGTACAAACTAATATATAGCTCAAATTTTCTCTGACATAATTAAAAATGAATATTAACTAACACTAATATAAACTAAGTGAACTGATATTTTCTAAATCCTCCCCGTACAAATTTTTGCTAATAGAAAAAACGTATCATTTATTTCTTCTCTCCACTGTCTCCTCTCTTTTCTTGCTCTTCCTCTCCTCCTCAGTTCACTCCCTTTTCTGTCTTCTTTTCTGTCTTCCTCTGTGAGGACCATCTCCTCTCCTCTCATTTTATGCATTGAGCACATTGGATTCGAACGAATAGAGCGGTTACGAGCTAAACACATGTGGCCGACATGATGTGACTACAAAATAGTAAAATGATAAGAGAGTGCACAGAGGTATTCCGCCCATTTCCAGAAAGGAAAGGGAGATGGCTATCAGAACCCATGCAAAAAGCAAAAAGAAAAAGAGAGATGGAAAATAAAGGTGTCGGTGGCGTCGGTCTGCGCTCTTTTCCTGCGCTCTGTACATTGGTCTCGCGCGCGCAAAGCGTGACAGCGCACCTTTGCCGCACTGCATCGCTCTTGCACATGCGGAGAGGGAGACCGACAGCGGTCTCGCGCGCACAAGGCACGACACCATGGGCCCACTGTGCTCTACGAGGCTCCATCGCTCTCGCTCAAGCGGAGAGTGATACCGTCACCGGTCTCACGCGCTGAAAGCGCGATACCACGGGCCCACTACGCTCCCCCACGCCTCGTCGCTCTCGCGCATGCGGCGTCACCGGTCTCGTGCGCGCAAAGCGCGATACCGCGTGCCGTTCTCTATCACGTCACGCTCGGTCTCGCGCTTTCGGATTACGAGACCGACCTCGGTTTCGCGTAACGACAAAGCGAGAGCGATGGCTCCGCCCGCCACACTGCCTCCCAAATCGGCGATTTCTCCACGTGGCGCTCTCGCCCTACCAAAGAGCGATACCGCTGCGGTCTCGCTTTCCCTTTGCGCGATATCGCCAGCTCAACTCCGCTTTCGCTATGTCATACCGCGATTTCGCCACGTTATCGCACTTTCTAGTAGTGAACCTCGGTATCGCTCTTCCAAACAGCGATACCGAAGGTATATTTGTGCAAAAACCTTCACAATCCGGTATATTTTTGCAAAATAAATTGATGAACAGTATATTTTCAAAATTTTTTCCTATCCTCTCTTTTGGGTATTTTTGCCGATTGCAGCCCTAGTCCTTCTAGGCTCTCCTGTTTCACTTTTATAGCTTACCCCAATTAAAAACGATTTTAAAAGTCAGTGTAGTCAAACTGATCTGAGTTCGAGTTCACGTAGCTTTATATTTGCATAGTATTTAAAATTTATATAAAAACATAAGGCCTTCTAGCACAGTTCATATTATTTACCTTCTATTCAAATTTCGTCTCATACACCCATCCACCATGGTTTACACTTCTATTTTTAGCCAAAATTTCAGAATTTCAGTGGAAATCGAAATTTCTGAAATTTTGGTACTTTTTGACAAAATTATTTGAAAATTTAACAGATTATAAATGAATTTGAATAAACTTTGAACAAATTTACAAAAATTTGGAAAAAAAGGAGAAAATTTCAGACAATATATGCATGTGCTTGCCGGTGGAGGCAAAATTACCAAAATTTCATTCTGAAGTTGCAATCCCTGCCAACCACCCTCTGGCCCAATAATTCCTTGTTTAATGAGGTGCACTAAAGTCTTCTATCCTAAATCTTAGTCTCTAGTAGTAATAAGGCCCTGTTTAGTTCCTAAAAACATCGCATCGAATCTTTGGACACATGTATAAAATATTAAATATAGATAAATTAAAAAACTAATTACAAAGTTAGGGGGGAAATCACGAGACAAATCTTTTGAGCCTAATTAGTTAATAATTAGCCATAAGTGCTACAGTAACCCACATGTGCTAATGACAAATTAATTAGGCTTAAAAGATTCGTCTCGTGGTTTTCAGGCGAGTTATGAAATTAGTTTTTTCCTTCGTGTCCGAAAACCCCTTCCGATATTCGGTCAAACGTCCGATGTGACAATCAAAAATTTTCTTTTCGCGAACTAAACAGGCCCTAAACAACCTACAAATGCCAACAAGGCCTCCAGCTTCTGCATAAAGCAACGACAATCGGGAATCAAATCCTTATGAACCTATCGCCAGAGGTTGATACATCGATCATGTATATCGACATGTGCCTTGAGTTCTTGAATTTGGAGGGCGATTTGATGGCGGGCAGGCACATAGTTGCTTTGATCTTCCGGACCGCCTTCCAGACCAGTCTATCCTTGTCCTCTCTAGGATGAAGTTGGTGCAGGAAGATGTCGATACAGTCCTCAATATCGTAGGCCAGTTCCCGCACCTTGTCCTTCCACTCCTAAGTCGATAAGCTTCTGGAGAAGGGAATTAGGCAGCTCAGCTCATGCTTCAGGATTGCAATCTCTTTTTGAACCCCCTTGAGTAGCTTGTATTCATCGCCGAGAGCGTCTGCATAACAAGAAATAACTTAGGTCAGCTGTGGATATTGTGTGCATTTATGTTTTTGTGTCAAGTCAGTCACAAACACAACAAGGAGATTAAGTAGAGCCTGCAGAGAGTAGTTTCAGCTGGCATTTAGGGGGCATTCAAAGTTTCGGTTGGTACATGCGACCTAACAACTTTAAATAAATTCTCCATGCTCTCATTGAACATGTTTCTCTTCTTATAAAAGATGCTACTCTCCCCTAAAAAAAGGGAGAGAAAATTGTGTGGTAAAATTTCATATTTGTAAGTGCAGAGCCTCACTTTAGTGCTGTTTTTAGAGCTGATCACTCTATTAACTAGTGTGCTCCTGTAAAAGCAGATAAATTGGACGTGAAAGGATCTAACAAATGGTAAAGTTCGCTTTTCCAATCTGGAATATCAAAAAACCTGAATTTCCCCCACTTCAAAACCAGTCATTGGTCGACCTTGAATTTTTGGAGGTTTTGTGAAAGTACAAGTCTATGGAATTATCATTCATCGACAAAAATCATGTTTTGACCAATAATAGCCTAAATGAGAGATATTGCAAGTCTGCAACAGAGAATGGCTAGAGAAGTTTGTTAATATAAGTGCAAAGTCTCACAGACCATGCTTGTGCCCATGCCATGTAAGGACTTGAACATACACAAATACAAGTAACCTAGACAGGTCTCGCAACATAATACAAGTTCTTAAATACAAGCCCCAAAATTTAATCGTACTAAAGTGTGATGCTTAGGTCGTGCAAACAAGACAGCAGCAACTGTGGCTGCGCTTCTCTGGTACGCTTCATGTCGTAGCGTTCTTCTCCCAGTTATGGGGAATACTCAAGCTAACATATTCCCATAAAACAGCAGCAAACATTAATTATTGAAGAAACGCAGAGTATAAGGATATCATGAGTACCTTTCAGCGCTATTTTCTGAGTCCTTGTACTTCAATTATAGATATTAAACGTGGCACGTATGTCTTGAAACCTTGGATGCCTTTGGACGGCGTCCCTGTATGCAGGCACCTTGCTGGAGTGGCTTGTCACTTGGACCTCTTCAAGCCTTGGTAGGTGCTCGATGCCAATAAGTGGAGTTTTGCCATGTTGCGCCGCTCCACTGGTGCCATGCCCTTCCTCCAAGTTAGAAGGCTTCTTGTCATCTAGCTTCAGAATCTGAAGCTGTGGCATTGCCCCTGGCTCAAACGTCAGGCATGCCAAATCACATGTTAAAACAAATTTCTGCAGCTTTGGGAAATTGTCGGTATGGGTGATTCTTCCCAAACGCGTGGTAACGCGTTTAGTGATGATGTTCTCAGGGGTAGCTTGAGCAGTCAAGTCGAGGTCAACAAGGCAGGGCAGCCCAGCAAGAAATTGGACGTCGCGGCAACTGAGCTCCTCAACACGAAGCTCTAGCATTGTGAGCTTCAGAGAAAACCACAGCCAGGATGGGACATTGCGAATGTTCTTACGGATGATGAGTTGCTGAAGCCATAACGATGCAAAATTCAGAATATGCGGTGAACAAGCAACCAAATTTGGCGAGAAGAGGTCCGAATGTGAGGAAGCTGGTGTATCCAGATGCTGAGATAGGTAGTCCAGAATGGATTCAGTTGGCCAACCATCATCGAAACTTGGAAACTCAAGGGAGGCAGGGGGAGAACGAAGACCTCCATTGGTAGAACGAAGACCTCCATTGTTGAAACGACGTGTTTTTGCCAGTCTGATAGCAGATGAATTAAATCGAGAAATTTTCTCCACAATAGTAAAAATGTCGGGCAAACCCCCTGAATTAAAGGTCAACAAAGTTTGTAGAGAGACCAGTTTCTGAATCCCATTAGGCAGCACTGCATCACCTGAAACTGTTAGATGACACAATGATGATAGAGAAATAACATCTGATGGAAAACCAGTAACCAAAAGGCTGCCTAGTAGATCTAGTGTCCTCAAACACTGGAGTCTCCCAATTTTCTGAGGCAGCTTTAACCTGAAACCTCTGATACTCAAGTGTCTCAACAGGAAGAGGTTGCTCACAGCAGACAAATCAAGGAAAACGGATGTAGAATAGGCCCTAAGTTCCAATACCCGCAAATGCTCAAACATAGAAATAGGAGGCTGCATACTGCAGCCAAACGCAGGGAAAGTATTATAGGATCGAACCTGTGATAGTTTCATTCTTTCCATGGCCAAGTTTCCGTATGACAACTGATGGCACAGACGACGAACTGGAAGCTTTGTTACATTCTTTACAGGCTGCTTAGATGCTATAGTGATGAAGTTTTCCTCCTGGCACTTCGATATTATAAGGTCAAGCATAAGGTCATGGACATGACATGCCTCACTGGAACGATAATCATCTAGCTTAATCATACTCCTATTAATGAGTTCGTTGAAATAGCTCTCAGCTGTTTCCTCCAGATCCAAACCAGGTTTCTCATGGATAAATCCTTCAGCTATCCATAGCCTTATCAAATCAGCTTTGAAAATTGTATGGTCTTCAGGATATATTCCTAGATACAGGAAGCATGTCTTGAGATTATGTGAGAGGTCAAGGTAGCTCAGATTCAGTACATGTCTCATCCATTCTAGAGTGGGATTTGTTTCCGACTCAGAACCCATAAAGTTATGAATCTTCTTCCACTTACCCACATTCATGCCTTCACTGGATAAAAGGCTAGCAATGCTAATGATTGCCAATGGGACACCTTTGCATTTTCTTAACATATCTTCTGATACATTTTTATACTGCTCAGGAATACTATCCGAATCAAATATCCTTTTACAAAATAACTTTTGTGAGTTAAACTCATTAAGTGGCTCCATCTTGTACACCATACCATGGAAATCAACGCAACACTTTGTAGCTACATCTTCGATTCTTGTTGTAACTATAACTCTGCTACCATGATTATTTTGAGCAAAAGCACACCGAATAATGCTCCATGCTTGAGTGTTCCATATGTCATCAACTACAATAAGGTACCTACGAATATATTTTTCATAGATTAACATATGGTTGTTGAGGCCTCCCTATATAATTCTTTTGAACTAATAGTAGAAAAATAGAGAAATTCTTTTGTAGGATATGGCAACAGTAGACTCCGCAAATTAATACTAGAGGAATTTATTAAAAATAAATTCAAAAGAATCAACATCGAAGCAGAAAAGTTATTTAGTAAATTTCACATTTAGGATCCAATCGTAGCAATATATGAAAACATAATTTGCAACAATTTGCCCAAGTGTGCCCCATTTGACTAAGATTTGGCTCATTGATCAAAAGCTCATTGATACCCTCATTAATACCGCCGCCGCCTCCGTGTCCCGCGCAGCCGCTGCCTCCGCATCCCGTGGCGCCGCCCACCGCCCGCCGTGCGCGCAGAACGCGTGCCGCCGCTCGACCCGCACGTGCGAGAGAGGGGACGAGTGAGAGAGAGGAGATAGAGGAGGAGGGGGAGAGTATGGCAGGTGGGTCCCACTTCTTTTATAAACAAAATGCTGACTGGATTGCCACGCGTATTCCACATAGGACAAAACCGCTCTAGATTGAGTCGAGGGGGGTAATTCGTCCGTTATTAAAAGTTTAGGGTTAGCAATGTCTGGTTTTTGGGTTTAGGGTGGTAATTCGGTCGACCACGATAGTTTAGGGGGGTAATTCTTACTTTTTCCAATATAAAATTGTGCCAAACTTTTTCAACTGAATGAGCAAGAACGTTATGGGCTTATTAATGTGGCTAGCACAAAGAGGGATCAAGAGAGCAAGGGAACCTCATGCATCGACAATGACCAGCACGAGGGCAAGGCCGTGCTTGTGCACAGGAGATGAAGAGAGATATCAATACATGCTTAACTCATAATGGGATATGGCTGATCCTTCTATAGGATAGCCCCTAACAAGAATCTCTAATAAAAAAAAAGCCAGCTCGAATGGAAACATAAATAAAGAAAGCAACTGGGGTCTCTAGTCCCCTAATTATAGCAACAAGGGATATCTAATCCTCTAATTATCTCGTGGCGGCCTGCCTTCTACTGCAGCGCTCACATGTTGTCAGTACTGATTATGGACCATAGCAAGGAACCTTGTCTACTGCAGCGCTCACATGTTGTCAGTACTGATTATGGACCATAGCAAGGAACCTTGCCACAAGTGTGGCTACGAAGTGAACTGTCACCTAATCTGGGAAATGTGCCTAATTAGCTGTCAACCTTAGACAATATTTCGATATGATCCAAACAGGCCCAAAATCAAGTCAATACAGCAGAAATGAAGACATGGTTATAAAATATTAGAAAACATGAGAAACATCCATAGGAACTCAACATGAATGCCACATCAAAGTTAAACTATGGATTTATACATACCTCTTATTAGCAAGATGTCCTCTGAGGGTGTCAATGAGCTTTTGATGGTCATCAAGAATTCCGTAGCCTTGAAATCCTGTTCCTGAAAGTAAATTTCTCAGCAGCTTAACCATGTCAGGGTTTTGAGACACTGACACGAATGATGTGAAATTGAATCGTTTTTTCAATTGGTTGTATACTTGTTTGGCAAGAGTTGTCTTGCCAATGCCTCCAAAGCCAACTACAGAGAGAACTTTAAGTTGTTGTATCGAACCATTCTCTACTTCATCCATTAGCCACTGAGTAATTTCCATACATGGACCGTCAATGCCCACAAGATTTTTTGCATCTTCATAGAGTGCAGGTAGACGCGGATCAACTTCCACCACTTTGGGAATGCTTGAGGTAGATACACCTAGATTGGCATACCTATCACGGCGCTCAGCCACCTGCATGACACGAGCCTTGAGTTCTTGAATCTTGTCGGCAATCTGATAGCGAGCACGCAAATTCCTGAGCTTGCGTGCAGTCTTCCTGAGCAAGCCATCCTTGTTATTACCATCACCAAGATGGTACATGAAGACATCAATGCAGTCCTCGATGTCGTAGACCATCTCGCGGATGTCATTCCTCCACAGCTTCTGCTGTCCATCTAGCTTCTCCATATCTGCAAGATTCTCCAACACAGCATTCATTTCGGTCAACTCATGGCTAAGGAACTCAATGTTCTTACGCATTCCCTTGAGTTTCTTGCACTTGTTGCTGAGCAGCATGGCAAGTTTGGTGAGGAGTGGCGCCATGACCCCCATGGAAGAGTTCACTGCTGCCATCATAAAACCAATGTGTTTGCTCGCCTTTGCTCAATGGGCTAGCTGGTCAGAGTGGATGCCTGAATGGAGAAGCGGTGCTATCAGTCAAGCAATATATTGGTCCATATAGCCTACCTTAATTTCTTGGAAGCTCGATCAGTTCTCAATTGCTACCTTTGGGGCCTGCTATTGATTGACATGTTGGCCATTATATGTTCCATCATCAAGAAATGACAAAACTGGATAATCATAGCAACAATATTAAATATCCCACTTATGTAAAGCCAGCAATACCCAAATTAAGCACTAGACCAGACGACCCACCTAGCTAAACGAACAATAATTTTATTAAGACGACTAAACGAAGAAAATTAGGCCGATTAAGACAGCTCAACTACTAACAAGTATGGCAAAAGGAAAAAATTAGGCCGATGGAACGACGAACCAAATCATGAGCCGTCACTGTGTCCTCCCGTCACCTGGCATACGTGCTGATGACGACCCAACTTGGTGCTTTGCATCCTCTTGATGGACATCAGAATCAGACAAGAGTCACGAAATTTCTTGGAATCTCGTCTACAATTTCCCAGAATTGGTTTGTTTTGTCTTCAGAATATGTCAGTATTGGTAGTGGTACAGTACTACAGTTCACTATCTATTGACTTGTTGGCCGCGTGATGCAGATCAGCAGACGGACGGACGGACTACAGGCCCGTCACCCGCACACCATTCATCCGAAGCCCGGCCACGACGCCGGCGTTGGGGCCGATCCATCCCCGACCACCGTCCGCCTTCGGCCCGGAGACCGACGTACGGATCGGAGGCACCGGTGCGGAGCTCGATCCCACGACAGATTGAGGCGACGGCGGAGCGCTTACCAGCAGAAGGGAGCGGAAGTGGATAACCTGGAGGATGGATGGCGTCCTGTCCCGTCTAGAGCTTGGCGGCCACGACGCGGAGGAGGAGATCGGGGAAGAGGAGCACGTGCTCCGCCGCGCCGCCGGCGAACCGCCCGCCGGCGAGCGCTCGAGGAGACGAGGTGGGGAACTGGGGATCGAGGAGTCGGGTTTCTGCGGATCAGTGGGGAATGGGTCGTATGGGCCCACACTCGGCCGAGCAAACGATGGGGCTACCGAGAGTCCGAGACGGCCCAAGCCCATAGGGTCGCGAAGCAGACTCCTAAGGCTGTATTAGTCGAAAACTCTAATCAGCAAACGTTCGCGCGAACCTTAGGCGGCGAACGGGCAGCATCTCTTCCTATTTCGGTGGAGAGCAAGTATAATAGTAGGCTATAAACTGGCTAAATATTAAGGTGGAGGAGAAAAGAGAGGAGAGAGAGGAGAAGCGGGCTGTAAACTTACAGCTAGGCCTACCAGTGGACTGACTTTGCTTGGATTAAGTGGGCTGGATCCTCATTTGGATCATTTTGGTTGGATTGAAACGGCCTGGGATTTCATTTTGGATCGGACTGCACTGGGCTTACAAAAAATGTGGTTTGGTTTGGGGTGGATGCGGGCTGAGTAAAATGACTGATCTACGGACTGAATCCACACGCAGACGCTAACTCATCCTCCTCCTCGCGCCATCTGCTCCTCGCGTCCTCCGCTCCTCCACCTCCGCCGCCGCCACCACCATCGCCGCCAATGGGCGTCGCTACTGCTGCTCCTCACCACTCCGCCCTCGCTGCAAGCGGCTACGGCTGCGGCCCCACCGGATCCCGCTCATCCTTCGCTCCGGCGTCATCTCCCGGCGTTGCTCTGCCAGATCGCGATCTCCTCTTCATCGGCGCCAAGAAGTTGCTGCTGCTCGCCACTTCGACCTGGTTGCAAGCGGCTACAGCTCCACTGGTTCTCGCTCGTCCTCCGCTCCGGCGTCATCTCCTGGCACCGCTCCGCCAGATCGCCATTTCCTCTCCGTCAGCGCCAAGAAGCTGTTGCTCTCCTCCATGCAAGATCCGCTGCCGTGTGTCCCTGCTCCCCACAAGATTCGGCAATGCTCTCTCCCTTCAAGATCCGGCGAGTACTCTCTCCTCCATGTATTGTGGATTGTGTGCTGAATGCCATGCTTAAAAGATTTGTTCTAAATTGCATTTACAAGCAGCTACCTTTCATTACCATGCATGCATAAGAATATTGATTTCATGTATGGAGTTGCCATGGCCACAACTATGAATGACCTGTATGTTTTCCAAGATCAGTTGTGCTAATTTAACCATGGGTACCTAACAACAGTCTAAAATTATGATCTCTTTTCAGCAAACTATTATATGCACAATAGTTGGATATTTATCACGGCCTCAACTAGACAACTACTGTTGTGGAACATCATTAGATTACTATGTAGCATGTACTGAACAAAAATCTGATTTATTTTGATTTTAGAATACTTACTGGAGTCCTAAAGAAATTGGTAGCTCATGGTGCTACCATTGCTGCTGCTGATCATACTGCACCAACCTCGCCTGCTTGAAGCGGAGAACCGCAACCTCACGGCCTCAGCCACTCTGAGGTCTCCGGAGTACCTCACCAGGCCAACCCGTGACTTCACCTTCTTCGCGCCTGAGTACATTATAAGCAGGTGCACCCCATGCTGATCCCCTCCACCTCTCGGTTCAAGTTGTGTTTGCAAGAAATATTATTTTTTATTCGGACACATGAGGGTTTTCTTGCAGTGAATCCGATTGTTCATGTAGTCCATATGGTTGCCTCATAAGTCACAGAATGTTTTTGCAACTAACTGAAAGTATGTCGACCTTTTATTCACCCACAAACTTTGATGTGCACCCACTGTGCTGATACTCGCTCACATTGTTGCACACTATGAATTAATCAAGATCATATTTGTGTGCTACATTAATTAATTAGCTAGGAACTTAATCAAGCATATTGCTTAATTAAATGTTGCTATAAAAATATTCTGTACATATAAAATATTCCTTTCAGGACTTATGACTTATGCCTGGTAATACTGATTTGGAAATACTTCAGATTGATAGTGGATTCTACAAGTTTACAACTATGGGTTGAATTAGATTCGTATTAATTTGGCTGTTTGTAGCAGTTGAATGTTAATTTTTTAATCTTGTCACAAGCAGGCTTATTAAACATGTCTACACACAATTCAGAAAGTTCAACTGGATGAATTATATTGATTTTTTAATTATATTGATTTGCTGCCTGATAGTTTTGAGTTCTTTAATAAAGAATGTTAATAGTACTATGTGCTCTAAAAGGTGCCCATGAAATAGGTAGAGCTGGGATTGACAGTGCATTCTATAATATACAAAAATATAGGTTGAAATAAATGCAAATTATTTAACAAATCATTACAGATTGAGTCTTGATATGATTTTGAGATGCAAATTAATTCTATGGTCAATGGAATTCTAGTGTGCAATTTTTAGCTTGTAGCACGTGTACAATGTGTGAAAAAAATAATTATAGACCATGTTCTTTCAACTATCTTCATTTTAGATTTCTTCCTCTATGCAGACAATTGAACAAACTCAATAATAAATATGTCATGTCAGAGAGTTCAGGTACTAATAATACAAATAATAATCAACTTCAAGAACACGTATGAGGGCTAAAGTATGGTAACACTTTCAGCAAGAGGTTGTGATGATAGATGGTGTCCCCAAGACTCAATGCAAATATTGTAGCTTAAGATTGACAGCCACCAAAAAGTCAGGCAGAAGTCACCTTATTAATCACATAGCCGAATCATGTCCAGCTATTGATGGTGCTGCTAGAATCAACTTCCTTGCAACAATTAAGAAACAGACTGGGGAAGGTTTCGTGTTTGATCCCAAGAGAAGCTGGGAGCTAATGGTCAAATACTTCATTCACGCAGAGGTGCCATTCAATAAAATTGAGGATCCTTATTTTTTGGAGTGGGTGGAGTCCGTGCAGCCAACTTTCAAAGTTGTGGGGCGTCAAACACTTCATGATGATGCCTTTAACTTGTATGAGCAAATGAGGGAAGACTTGCGTGCTGAATTACAGTCTTGATTCGCGTGTATGTCTGACATCCGATATGTGGACTTCAATTCAAATATAGGCGACATGGTTGTCACAGCACACTATATTGATAGAGAGTTTAACATGAAGAAGAAAATTATAAGCTTTAAGGAATTGAAGTATCCCCACACAGGATTCGCCATTGAAGAAGCTATAATGAGTTGCTTGACATATTTGGGCATTAGAAACAAATTGTTTACTATAACTATAACTTTAGATAATACCAGTAATAACAATTCTCATGTCAAGAGTTGATAAAGAATCACAAGGATGCATTGATGTTTGAGGGTCAGCATTTGCATGTTAGATGTTGTGCCCATATCCTAAATATTTGGGTTCAGGATGGTATGAAGATAATTAAACCAACAATACACAAGCTACGTGAGTTGTTGAAGCATTTAGATTCTTCAGCATCAAGAATGCAAGATTTCAATTCTATAGCAAACTTGAAGAATCTTCCTTCAAAGTTGGGTTTTTCTTTTAATCCACCGACTAGATGGAATTCCACCTATAAAATGATTGCAGAAGGATTAGTGTACATATCTGTCCTGGATAGCTATGCAAATCAACATGATGAAGTTGTACTATTAGGATTAGTTTCCTAATAGTACTTTATGTCTTTCTTTTTCTATTAGGTGTTTTTATTTTTATCTCATATATATACTCTTGTATGCCATACAGGAAGGGGTGATATTCCCAATGTTATTCTCCTACGTTTGTAATCAACTCCTCTAGTGATTATTGCCGGTCGACGCCCATAGTTTTTTCCAGCAAGGGTTTTCCACGTGAAATTCGTGTCTCCGTTGTGCATCTATTTTCATAACATTACTAACATGCTAAATAATAAATCAAGTAGTGGAAATTGCAACATAGTAATTTATTCTTGATAAATAATATTGATAGTGTTATCGACAACTAAAAGAATTATGAAGGCAAGGTAATATGAATACTCTCACAAACATATTATGATTCTAAAGTTTCACACTTGATGATGAATAAGGGTTCATTTTGGTGGAGGGATATCACATCTCTTGCAAACATCTTCAGGGGGATAGCCAAATGTGAAATCAGGATAGGAACTACTGCCCTTTTCTGGAATGATCTATGGAATGATGATTTTAAATGCACTAGCTACCCCAATCTTTTTGCTGTGACCATGTATAAAACTGATTCAGTGAAAGTCATGTGTTCAAGACCTTTAGAAGATTCTTTTACCCTACCCCTCTCAGATGTGGCCTATTCTTAATTTTTACAGCTACAGGAAGTTCTAAGCAATCTGAATATACAGTCAGGAAGGGGGATGCTTCGAATTTTATCTGGGGTTCAGAGTACACAGCTAAGAAATTCTATAAGCTCAACTTTTCTGCGTTGCAACCCCCAGACACATGATTTGGTTATGGAAAACAAAATGTGTCTGGCTCCTGTTCTGTGACAGACTCAACACAAGAGATATGCTGGATAGACGACATTGTGCTAAAGAAGATGATGACCTCACATGTGTGTTGTGCAATGCGGATTGCAGAGAAACAAGGTTGCATCTTTTCTTTTCCTGTCCGTTCAGTATCAGGTGTTGGCAGCACCTGGGAATTGACTGGAATCATAATTTGGAGTTTTTCCAAATGATTGCCCTAGCAAGAATCAAGTTTGCTTAGAGGGGATTCTTGGAGATTTTCTTTTTGACAGCTTGGCACATATGGAAGCAAAGAAATTGTTTAATCTTTCAAAACGTTCAACCTTCTTTCCAAGTCTGGAGATCATTTTTTGTGAAAGAAGTTCTTCTGCATATGTGCAGAATGAAGGATCCCTCAAAGCAATTTGTTTTTAATTGGTTACAAACCTTATAGTCTTCCTTGCGGTTTCCTTTTGTAACTCTGTAATCTTGTAAATATTTTCAATCTTTATAAAATTACACTGCTGGGCAAAGCCCTGGCAGTAATTCCAGTCAAAAAAAGGTAATATGAATACCTTAAATAGGAGACCACAAATATGCAATGTCTCTTGTAAAAAATGTCCTTTTCACGAATTTTTTAAGCAAAATCATTAAGAATAGCTTGGAGATCAATGGTATCTAATATATTCTTTTCAATGCTGCACATAGCCAAGCCATTCAGTATATCACAAGACATAGTTTATCTCAAATAATTTTTTAATAATTTTAATTTAAAAAAAATTATTTCAGTTAACGATACACATAAATAAAAATTGCTAAGTAAATTAAGTAGTAAGAAGGGAAAAAATCATAACCTAACCTATCTATTATCTATTATATACTAAAAGTCCATTAATCTTTCTACAAATGCTCCTAGGCCGCCACGTGCTATTCCTACAAATACTCATAAACCGTCACGTGGCACTTTAACAAATAGGGTGGACCCACTGTTTTGAAATATGTGACACTTTAACAAATTGAGTGGACCCACTGTTTTTGAAATATTATATTTGTTTTTTTAAAATCCCCCAAAGCCGAAAAGGCTAACGGGCGATCGATCGCCCCTAGCGATCACCCCCTCCACGTGGTTTCCTTATTTGGCACCGCATTATTTTCCTATTTTTATAAATTTATGCAGCTCAAGTTTATATACCTCAAGTTTACACATCTAAATTTTATACACCTAAAGTTTAGAGACCCAAAGTTTATAAGTCAAAAGTTTATATATCCGATTCAAATTTGAATTTGAATTCATATATGTTTTATGTATAATATTTCTATACATCTAAATTTTATACACCTAAAGTTTAGAGAACCAAAGTTTATAAGTCAAAAGTTTATATACTCGATTCAAATTTGAATTTGAATTCAAATATTTTTATATATAGTATTTCTATACATCTAAAGTTTATACAACTAAAGTTTAGAGGCCCAAAGTTTATAAGTCAAAAGTTTACATACCCATTTTAAATTTGAATTTGAATTCAAATATTTTTTATATATAGTATTTCCGTATATAAAATTTGCTAACCTTGCTTTTTTATTTTTTAAAAATTTTATGGTGCAGTAGGACGAAAAGAAGGGTAGGAGAAAGGAGGAGAGGAGTGTATAGGGGGGATGGGGGGTGATCGACCACAGCGATCACACGCCCATTAGCCACGCCCCCCTCCAAAGTCCAACTCTCTTTCCACCTGCCAAGCTGGACGTATGTCCTTAAGAAGGGCCTACGCGTCGGGCGCCCGATGGTTTGGGGAAAAATTAGGCGCTGACGTCAGCGCCACGCATGCGTGAAAAACCAATTTAAACTGATTTTTCTCTTAAATTATTTATCAAAATCATGATCCTATTGCACCATTAAATTTGTTACAATTAAATCTTTAAAACAAGACCACACATGGATATATTCCGACGGGAAAAATTTTTAGCTTATTATTGAGTTTTTTAAAATGTTGCACGATGTTCCACCAAGTATATCGGAATTGTTTCACTAAGTAGATCGAAAATGTTTCAATTGTTTAAATCAGGTGTTGTTTCACCTTATATAAAAACAATGTTTCTGCAAGTAGTGAAAGAATATTTCAGTTCAGTGCAATATTAGATCTATACATAGTGAAACATTATAAGTACACTAGTTGAAACATTTTTCCGTGGAACAAAAAATGAAACGAATTCCCTTAATAGAGGGTTTCCAAAATATACGGGTGATTTTGTTGCAAAAGAATATTTCGTTCACTGCAACATTAGATCTATACATAGTGAAACATTATGAGTACAATAGGTGAAACATTTTTGGTGGAACAAAAAATGAAACGAATTCTCTTAATAGAGGGTTTTCAAAATATATGTGGGTGATTTGTTGCAAAAGAATACTTTAATTCACTGCAACATTATATCTATACATAGTGAAACATTGTGAGTACACTAGGTAAAACATTTTTTGTGGAACAAAAAATGAAACGAATTCCCTTAATAGAGGGTTTCTAAAATATATAGGTGATTTGTTGCAACGGAGTATATGGTGGGGACACGTAGCAGATAGATAGGAACACATCCGGGGGCACAGGGCGCACCCGCGCTTCGTGGGGGAGGGGGAGCGACCGAGGCGTAGCATTTTCGATGTACTTACATTGTAGGTATGCAATCCTCCCTCTCTCCTTCCTATTTTGTAACTAACAATTTTTATTTAGGGTCGTTAATAATTTTAATATAAAAAACATTTTAAAGACAAAATAATATATATTATTATTGATCTATTAATCTCAAGCCGACAGGTTTGCCACTACTGATTGGTCCACGTGGAGCTATCAAATTGTCAGATAAATCTTTGGAATTTTGGACGGTAATTTTCTTGCAGCGTGGGAAACGGGTACTCTTGCCGTCTCGCGAATTCTGGATACATCTATGAGTGCTACGGGTGCATGCACGGGCTAGCATCTTAAAGCCCAATCATGGACTCATGCATGCTTAGGCCTTGCCGGCTGCTAATCACAGTATCACACGCCCAGGAGCAGGCAAACGAAGAAGAAAAAAAATAAAATAAAGAAGCACAAATAGTTTTGTGAAATTATTAGGGGTATGATATCACGTATATATTGAAGCTGTAAATTGAAGAATGCTCTTGAAAACAGAAATTTGAAAAATTAAATGACAGAAAAAGTCAGGGAGCGGTCGAGTATAGAAAAAGCGCTAGCCATGGCCGCCAGGCGCCAGTAGGGCGCCTAGTTCGCGTGTCTGCGCCAATAGAATAGTTAGCACACACTTTTCCCATTTTGTCATATATTAATCTTAGTCCGACTCCCAGCGCTCAGGCCCACCTATGCGCACCATGTCCGTACCGCTAATTACATAATTAGCAAAAAATACCATCATTAGCATTATTTTTCAGAAAACACATACACATAATTTAGTTAAAATTTTGAAAAATAGTTGAAAGTTTTAAATATGTAATGGACGGATTTCGAAATTTGAACAAAAATTTTAAAATTTGAGTTGAAATATTTGAATTTTGATTTATGAAAGTTTTCAATTTGAGATGAAAATTTTGAATTTTGAGTTGTAAGTTTAAATTTCGA